AAAGCCTCTTTCGAATGAGTCAGGAAAATGTCGTGAAAGGGTTGCAAATAATTTACGAAAGGGTTATTTTGAATGAGCTATGAAAATATTGCACATAGTTAAAAATAAATTATGAAGGGTTACTCTGAATAAACTAATAAAAGGCTGAGAAAGGGTTACCATGAGTTTACGAAAGGGTTGTTTCGAATAAGTTATAAAAAGGCTGCGAAAGGGTTACGAAGGGCTTGCGTAAAGGCTTAGTGAAAGGGTTGTGACCTAACAAGTTGCGAAAAAATAACAGCAGCTTTAGGAAAAGAATATGAATGGATAAAGAAGTAACAAATTTTGTTGCAACAAGTGAGGAACGATGTCACACCAATGGGGCTATAATTCAAATTATACTCAGAAATAAAAAGCATCTCAGTCTAGTCCATGAAGACTGAAGAGCAGGCTGCACTTAATTGGTGGCTTACCTCGACATCACTGGCCGACTCACCCCTTCCACTACATTGATCGGGCGATTAGACACCTTTTTCAAATAACGGAAACCCAGAAGAAACGTTTGAACCGCTGAAAATGCCGAGAAATTGGCGGCAATATACAGGGAGGACACACTGCGCAACAAATGTCTCATAAGCGCATGGAACGTATGCAGTTTCCAAAGCTCTTGATAATATCAAGAACATGTTTTTTTTTCTTCTAATCCCCATCTGGCCAAATGTCCGCCTTTACACGGGGCCTGCACCCTAACGGTGAGGCACAGCGTGGCAAATTTCGTCGTCCCCTGTTCATAATGTTAAAGGGACCCTCCCACCTTAACATTAGATTTGAGTTGAGATAGCCAAAATGGGGTCCCTGGCTCACAATTACCGGTTTCGGCACTCACAACATCGAGAAATGCTTTAACTCGGAAATATTGAATTTCAAAATTGCAGCATTTTGATTCAGAGGGGCTAATGCATAGGAATACCCCTCTGAATGTGTGACGTCAGCGCAGATATCTAACGATTTTTAAATGTTTGACTAAAACGTTTTGTAGCACGCGGTGGTATATACAGATACAGATAATATATTCATGACAAATCCATGGTGCATGGTTTTTCATTGGCACACGTCAAACATTTACAACACAAGTAAAAGACCAGGCATAAAAAGCAGCACTCAACCACTCGACCTGAGCTAACCATGCGCCTCACACTGTTCTTTCAATAGATGCTTTTTGAGCTGGCGCCGAAAGTTTCGCACGGTGACGTCAAACGGCAGAGAGTCGTACTCACGCACTGCGCTATAACAGAGCCGCCGGCGACCGGCTTCCGTGCGGATTCTCGGCAGCGCGTGGTCGGCAGCTCTGCGCGTCTCGTACGAGTGACGCAGGGTGTCACCGATGGTTTGTGCGATCGCTTCCGGCTTTCCAGTCGTAGTGACCCTGTGCACCAAACTGATGCGATGGTACTTAGCAAGGTTGGGGGCATTCAACCACTCCAAGTCGCACAGAACGTCACTGATGTGGTCGTATTTACGACGGCCGCTAATAACTCGAGCACCGAAGTTCAGCAGTTTCTGCACACGATGAATCTGAGTAGCGGTGCACGTACCGTATAGCGAGAAGCAATATCTGATAACGGAGTTCACGAGCGCTTCTACTACCACAGGCAGAGAGGCCTTCGGTATAACGTGCTTGGCGTGCATCAGACCGATTAGGACACCAGTACACTTAGCTGTCACATAATCGATGTGCGACCTGAAGCTGAGATGATTGTCCATGACCACTCCGAGATTTTTGACAACTCTAGAGTCCGGAATAACAGCACCCATGGCAGTCAGTGTGACAGGCGGCAGTCCTCGCAGCATAGCGGGGGTTCCTAGTACAAGGACCTGCGTCTTAGCGGTGTTTAGCTTCATAGTGTTTGCGCAGAACCACTGGAAGAGACACTCTAGCGCCTGCTCCATGCGTTGGATGACCTGTGCCAAGTCACGCTTTTTACCGCTCACAAGAAGTTGAGTATCGTCTGCAAATTGCACGATTGTGACACCGTCAGGCAGGTACAGACACATTTCGTTTGCAAACACCGAATACAACATACAACTTAACGATCCGCCTTGGAACACGCCAATTGTGTTTGACTTGACACTCGACCGCACGTATCCACCGTCACCACTGGCCATCTGCACCTGCTGAGTGTGTCCGCTTAGGTAGTTGCCGAACCACTCGGTATCTACCCCATACAGTGCGAGCTTATCCAGCAGTCTCCCGTGCGGCACAACGTCAAAACATTTGGAGAGGTCCAACAGCACCAGGATCGACACCTCTCCAGCGTCCATCGCCTCCAGCGCACGGTCGGTGATGACGCTGAGTGCCGTCTCGGTGCTGCGGCCGCTGCGGTAGCCATGTTGGGTGGTTGACAGGAGCTGGTTGGCCTCCAAGTACTGCACCAGCTGGCGCTGGACGACCCGCTCAACAACCTTCATTATCGCCGGCAGGATGGAGATCGGGCGAGTGTTTGCTGGCTCCGATGGTCCTTGTCCTTTTGGGATTGGCGTTACCATTGCATGTTTCCAGGGGCCGGGCACGTTGCTGGTCGTCAGGCTGGAGTTGACTATGTCCAACAGGACGTGACCCATGCCCCAAAAGAAGGTGCGGAACATGCTGACGCTGATCCCGTCGTTGCCTGTTGAAGTTGACGGCTTCATGTGTAGCAGGAGCAGGCCGAGCGTGTCCATGTCGATCGGTTGCGGTCTGAACCGGCTCGTCGTGACACGCGGCAGTCTGACCGGCACTGGTACCGTGGGCGGGGGGACGCTGGCAGCTGTGATTGGCCCTATGCTCACATAATAGTCGTTTAGCGCGTCGGGCGTGGCGCTGGGAACCGCAGCCTCTTTCTTGCTGCCGATGATGGGCCGTAGTACCCGCCAGACTTTGCTAGGCCCTGCTTTGGCCAGTTCCCGGTTGATGTGGGCCTGCTGGTCTTTCCGGACAGCCGCGCGGCACAGACGGTTCAGCTCCTTATAGTTCTCACGGTCGCCACCAGGGCGCAGGGCCTGTCTCCGTCGCGCCATCAGGTCTCTGGTAGGTGCCGAGACCAACAGGCTCCCAGGAGGTCGCTGCTGCACCCTCGTAACGGGTGCCACTGTGTCCAGCTGCCCGAGGAAGATGTCGCAGAACGACTCCCACTTGCTGGCTGTCAGCTGTGTCCGGAACACTGGGCTCCAGTCGATGTTGTTCAGCTGCCGGTTGAAGCTGTCGGCGTCGATCCGGCCGAGTCGCCGGCGCTGTGTGACCGGGCCGGCCACCCTGGTCCTGCCGGTGCACTGCAGCACAGCTCGGGTGTAATCGTGCGGGGTGCCATAGTGGCAGCGCGTGACGCCAGCGCGCAGCAGGTAGTCAGGGCGGCTGACAGCCACGATATCCAGCAGCGAGCCGGCCGGTCGGTAGGTCGGGTGCCGGTTGTTGCTGATTGTCAGTCCGTATGTTGTCAGAAGTTGGCGGAGTCGCTGTCCAGGAGAGTCGGCTGCACACTTGAGCTGACAGCAGTTCAAATCACCAGCGATCACCAGTGTAGCACCAGCGTGGGTGGCTAGCATGTGCTGAACCTGCCCCTCAAAGTCGTCTAAGTCCGCAGTGACCTGGGCTGAAGTGTTCGTTGGCACACGGTATACTGAGGCGAAGACCATGCCTCGACACTTCCCGACATATACCTTAGCCCATAGCACTTCAAGATTCGAGTTTAGTACACCAGTCACAGGAGTTTTTAAAATCTCAACACGGTACACGTCACGAACCAGGAGCGCCACACCACCGCGTCCCTTGGCTAGTCCGCGAGTGTCGGGACGGTCACACCTGTACAGCCGGTAACCGTCTATATTCAGAAGTCTATTCGGTACGCTAGGCGTCAGCCAGATCTCACACAATGCTAACACATCGTACTGGTAGTCAGGAAGGTCGGTCTGTAGGTCTGCGATCTTGGGCTTGAGTGACTGGACGTTGAGCTGTCCGATCAGCAGGCGGTCCGCCGTGTTGTCTCCGTGCCGACGCCAGTCCTTTCCCCCTCTCCTGCGGCGGGGCCGGGCTCGCTTCCTTCCCCCACGCCGGTTCCGAGCGCTGACCGGTGTAGAGTCAGCCGCCGCTCCGCGCCCGGGCGGCGGCCGGCGGGCCAGGCTGGGCGGCGGCGGCGCGGCGCCGGTGATCAGCTGACCTACGGTGGGAGGCAGAGTGTGGGAGCGGTCCGGAGGATCGGGCCGGAGCTGGCCCATCACTCCCACTCTGTCCCGGTCAATCTCGGCGGCCGACGCCTCAGGCGACATGTCAAGGTCACGCGCTGGGCCAGCGGCCGGCGACGTGTCAAAGTTACGTGCCGGGCCGGCGGCCGGCGCCGCACGCCGAGCTGGACGCCACGGGACGACAGCGGGCGCCGCGGCTGCAATCAGCCTCTGGACGGTGTAGAGGACGACCAAACTGTAGAGTAGGTCTAGATGACACATCTTGATGATGATTCACGAGTTCACACGGCACAGTCGGTCGATTGAGCACTGCACTTTCGCAAGGACAAGGTATCCAACACTGGGTGACACTAGGGTGAGGAGAGCCCTCGCTCGCGTGCGCACCGTGGCGCGGCTGGCGCAGAACTGTATATAATATGCTGCTTTACGCGCAACAAATGCCGCACTTTCAAAATAAAGTCGCTAGGAACAGCGGAGATCCCAAAATGTAAACAAAAGTAAAAGTCTAATATCTTGAAAACCGGTGAATATTTTTCGATGAAATTTGGTAGATATTTGTTTTTGCTCTTTTTGAACCGAGCCACATCACTTTCATGCCAATTCATTAACTTTTTTGAAAGTGGGAGGGTCCCTTTAATTAACACTCCAAGATGTCTAAACGCGTCACTCGTCACTCGTCCTAACGCGTCATTCTGCCATTCTTGAATTCACGACGCCATGTCTCGCCTGTATCAGCTGCATCACAGGGACCGCAAAACCACGCCACCAGCCGCGGAATCTGACCACCGACCGATCTGGCCTGTGTGGTTGTGTATTTGAGGGGAGGACCCGTCTCCCGGGCTCCCCGATCTGGATCCGCCGCTGGCCGCTGTCACTGCCAGACGCCCTCTAAAGTCGGGGGATCTGTCCCGACCAGACGACACTGTCGCACGGGTCCTGGCCTCCAGCGGTCCTCTCCGCAATCTGTAGACACTCGCACTGTCGGAACGCAGCCACCAGTCGCGGGACAATCTGAAGGTCAGTCACACACAAGGCAGTATTGCTGTCTGTAACCAGGCCAAATTCACTTACCGCGGGGATAAATGAGCAAAATACGTAAACAGGCACCAATCACAATGCTACGTGCAGTAGAAAATCAGTTTATTATGCGATTTTACTCGATTGAGTCACGTAACCCCGGCAATTCACTCATCGGCCATGATGTTAGGTCCTTTGGTCGCATTAATCGCTTACGCATTACGCAGTCTCCATGGACCCTAGAAAACTACGTCGAGGCTGGAGTTGATGAATGTTAGATGAGATGAGAAGGCGGTGTTATAACACTGCGTTTGAGTGCGTCCTCACTGCATTCATATAGGAACGTAACGTTCCTATACCTATACGTTCCTATAGGACGTAACGCGAATTCCGCAGCTGCAGAAGAATAGCAGGCGGCCTCGAGCGTGTATTGTGTAATTCACTGTAATAGGTAGTTTAGATACATGATTATCAATGTCAGCGGTACAAACCATTACGATGATGGATTTGCGTGTTTGCGAAGTGTTCCATTCAGCTGAGGTCGGTGGTCATGTAACCTAGTCGGTTTTCAGTGGCAGATTGTCGCTGGGAGCCCCAGCATGCAGTTCCAGGGGGTTACGGTTCTATGCTGCCACATAGGGAGGGCTCAGGAGACAGATGACGTTACGGGGTGTCAAGGTTTTGTCGATTTTTAAGACTTTGCCGTGCAGTAAATTATCTTTTTTAGGCTCTAAGGGAGCCTGAAGGTTAATATCAAACTGCCTTAGAGTATAAAATCCTCGGAAGATTTATATTGGCGAAAATTGGTAGACACCCGCTGACGCCATCTGTCAAGGTCACCGATGTAAACAAACGGCTAACCGTTCTACCTCTTATTACGAGCGAGCGAGCGCAGCGAGCGAAGTGAGTTTTCAATATAACGGAAAAATCTCAGTATGAGCGGCCCGGCCCGGCCCGGCCCGGCCTGTAACGCTTTTGAGAGGCTTATATCTCAGCAACCGCTGGACCGATTGGCCTGCGGTCTTTTTTGCTGGGTTGCCCCATTCCTTCTACCCCGTAATTGACTACTTTTGATACACCTCAGTGACCGTCGTGGCACGTGCCACGTGAAAAGTCAAGGGTGTTCAAGCTGTTTTGCAAAAGTAGTGATTTTGAGAGGCTCATATCTCAGCAGCCGCTTGGGCGATTGACTTGCGGTAATTTTTGTAGGGTAGCAGCATCCCTTCTTCCCAAAATAGGATACTCTCGATGCATGTGGGTCACCCCCAGTGCACGTGCAAAATACAACAATAAGAGGTGCCAAATTTGTTCCCATTTCAGTAACTCGGTAATTACTGGGGCGATTTTGCTGAAACTTAGCATACAGGTAGGCACCCACCAGGCAATGCATTCCCATGTGTTGCGGTTAGGGTGCTACTGCACGTGCGCACGTGCAGGGGGCGTTTCCAGATCTCGAGAACGGCTGGGCCGATTGCGCTCAAATTTGGTGCACGGTTGGGGACCGGTTAGTAGGGTGCCGTGCAAAAGTCATTTTGGACCCCGTTTGCACGGGTTACAGGACAATTTGCCGAACTGCATTTTGCCGAATGCTTATTCGCCGAATGTCAATATGTCGAATGCATTTTGCCGACGTGTCTTTTTGCCGACGTGTCAAAAGGGCGAAGTGCTAAAAGTCGAAATGCAATTTGCCGACATGCCTTTTTGCCGACGTGCAATAAGTCGAAAATGTCAATTTGCCGAAATGTCACTTTGCCGAAAAGTCAATTAGTCGAAATGTCAATTCGCCGAAATGTTAATTTGCCGAAATGCTAATTAGTCGAAATGTAAATTTGCCGAAATGTCAATTTGCCGAAAAGTCAATTAGTCGAAATGTCAATTCGCCGAAATGCTAATTTGCCGAAATGCTAATTAGTCGAAATGTAAATTTGCCGAAGTGTCAATTAGTCGAAATGTCAATTTACCGAAAGTCAATTAGTCGAAATGTCAATTTGCCGAAATGACAATTAGCCGAAATTAACCTAACCTAACCTAACCTAACCTAACCTAGCCTAACCTAGCCTTAGGCCCTCGGCCTGAAGCCAGATACACAACAATTTAACCCACACCGGACCTATTGGTTTTCTACATATGTACGCGCCGGCCGAGGTGGTAATTGCTGAAAGGCGATTTGCCGAATGTCATTTTGCCGAATGCATTTCGCCGAATGTCATTTTTTTTTGCCGACGTGTCAAAAAGTCGAAATGTCATTTGCCGACATGCCTTTTTGCCGAAATGCCAATTTGCCGAAATGCTTATTAGTCGTTTCGCCCCTGGTAGAGCTGGCGCGTCCCGGAAAAAAAACGAGCGTGTGCGCTGTTACGAGACGCAGAGATTGATACCCGATTTTAAGGTCCTACGTCAACCGGTGACCAGAGTTGGCCTACGTTACGTTATTTTGAAGTTTTCGGTAAAACGTAGCTGTCAGTACCGTTGCGTAGCGTAATTGGGATGTTTCGGTAGCGTAGTACGGAAAATAATAGAATAACGTAGGAACTACGAAATGGATTCCGTAGCAATTACAGGTCAGCTGTATTTGTATAAGGTACATAATTTTTTTTTACAGTTTACTCATATCGTCACCAGACCTCCGGCCGTTTACACGGATGTGAGACGCCTGCTATATGAATACCACTAGTCTTTCTTCCGGCCGGACCGACACCGGGGATTTCCCACTGGGGAGTCCCAGGGAATTCCCTGTCGGAAGTCCAGCGCATCTAGCGAGTAGCGCGTAGGCACCGCCGCACCGACGATGCTGCAAAGCCGGCGATCATTGTGCGCAGTATTTGGCTTACTAGAGACTAACCGTTTTCACTGGGTATAAGTGGATGATGACATATTGCATAACGTAGTACGATAAAATAATTTGCTGCGTTAATGAACAAATACCGTAATTCAGTAACGTAGCAATATATAACGTATCGTAATTCGGTATCGTAGTTTTGGCCAAAAAAGCAAACGTAGCGTAACGTAGTGCGTAACGTAGCGTAGCGCAGGCCGACTCTGCCGGTGACCTCCGAGGTCAGATCAAGTGCCCCAAGATACGGTTCAGTTTGTGGCGAATAACTTCGCCACAAAGGGCCGCAGGGCCGCGATTTTGGCAGCATCGTATTTGCCTCGCTTAGGCGCGTCAAATGATATGATTTTTGTTTGGGTCAGGTCAACTTAGGGTGTTGACCTCAGGTCACGGTCAGGTCAGCACCCCCAGGTCATGAAGTTGGTGGAAAGAGGTCATGTCGCATATCATTCGATTCGGCAGGTCTTCTTGAGTCCATTGGTGGCTTTTCCGACTCGCTAGCTCAATTTGATCGGGAGTTATTGACGAAAAACTAATATGACCTTGATGACGTCATAAATGACGTCACGCAAGGTCAACATTGCAAAAGTTACGCATCTAACCTTGCAAGGAGTGCGTCAAATCACGATTCTGTGGGCTCGAGATAGTTAGAGGTCGTTCCCGGCGCCAGAATAGCAGTTTTCATTTTTCTTCTTGACTTATAAATATAATGCATTACAACGAAGTCACGAAAATGACCTGACCTCAAATAACCTTAAGGAAAATCTGAGATATACAAGCTGTGAGACTCGTAATGGATATTAGGTCCTGCAAGTTTCATTTCCCTGTGAAAGCTCCTCTGGCCGTGAGGGCGTTGCGAAGTTGCGACATCTGAAGACCGTGCAGAGGTTCACTTATGACGTCATAGGTCGGTGGCCTGACCTGACCCGAAAATGCGGTTGGTGTAAAAAGATCCGGCTTGAATCAAAGGTCAGCTATGCCAAGTTTCAGCTCTCTATCGCCAGCGTGTTTGGAGCTATCGCGAAAAAAAAACCTATAGGGGTTCGGCACCCGCACCCCTCCCCTTCGGCCGGCGAGGATTGACCTAAAAATATTTGACTTACCTTTGCCTGTAATCTTTCCTAAGGCATTGCCTTCGGCACTGCACTGCTTCGCCGCGAGCAATTTGATGTTTATTTCCACATGGTATTGGTGCTTTTAAACTTGCTTGTGCCATGAATAATTATTAGTTATGAAATCAGGTGGTCAAAGGATATCATGTGATTTGCTTCTTACTTGGGGATTGCACCAAAAGTAAACTGGTGATCGGTCCTAAGTAAATAAACACCACCTAACCTAACCTAACCTAGCCTAGGTTTGCAGATTGACATTTTTCAACTAATTGACATTTCGGCAAACTGCCAATTCGGCAGATTGACATTTCGGCAGATTGACATTTCGGCAAATTGACATTTCGGCAAATTGACATTTCGGCAAATTGACATTTCGGCAAATTGACATTTCGGCAAATTGACATTTCGGCACATTGACATTTCGGCAAATTTACATTTCGACTAATTGACATTTCGACTAATTGATATTTCGACTAATCGACATTTCGGGAAATCGCATTTCGGCAAATTTACATTTCGACTAATAGGCATTTCGGCAAATTGGCATTTCGGCAAAAAGGCATGTCGGCAAATGGCATTTCGACTTTTAGCATTTCGACTTTTTGACACGTCGGCAAAAAGCACATCGGCAAAATGACATTCGGCGAAATGCATTCGGCAAAATGACATTCGGTAAATCGCCTTTCGGCAATTTGTCCGGACACCGTTTGCACGTGCGCACGTGCAGAATGCCGCTTCCAGATCTCAGGAACGGCTGGGCCGATTGCGTTCAACTTTGGTACACCGCTAGCGACCGGTTAGAAGGGTGCTTTGCGCAAGTCCGTTGGAAGTACCCTCTCGCCCTTCCGCACGTGCAGGGCTCACTATCTCGCTCGCTCGTTCTTCGCCCAAAAGGCGTTTTACTGGTATATGGCCTTGTGCAGTTCGAAATATTCTTCCTCAGGAAGATCATGGTATATATATATATATTCCCTGCTGCTTCCTTGCCAATCAGCTGCACACTTTCGGTATTACTTTGGGAAGTATGCTGAACCCTGGGTCCATGTCGATGTCATTTATGCTTATCGGGACGATATCCATCAAGACAAGCGGCAAGCCTCGAGATTTTCAAAGAACCGTTCAACCCTGACCCTATTGAAGCCGCTGGCCCGGCCCATGTTGACATTCTCAAGTGTCTGCAAGGTCAGATTGTGTTTCCTGCGAGATTCCGTTATCTCAAAGCTTCCAACCAAGCCCGTTCTTTTCGTTCTTGCAGGTGCCGCCGCCGATCCTGTTCCCACTGTGCGCCATGGAGGGCCGCTCCATCGAGGTGTTCACGGTGAACGCGTTCACGGCGGAGCCGTTCGCGGGGAACCCGGCGTCCGTCTGCCTGCTGGAGGACCCGTCGGCGCCAGACGTCCTCCTGCAGGGGATCGCCGCCCAGATGAACCACTCGGAGACGGCGTTTGTGACGCGCCTCTCCGAGGGAGACCAGTTTGACACGGCCGACACGTTCCGCCTGCGCTGGTTCACGCCCACCACCGAGGTGAAGCTCTGTGGACACGGCACCATGGCGGCCGCCGCCGTCCTCGTCAAGGTACAGTTCTTGGACCGGGACCGGAACGTCCTCCAGTAGTGACTTATGATCCTTGAGGGAAGGGAAGTGGATTGATGGAGGCGTACATTCACTTCTGGACTATGTTTTATTTCGTTTTAGCGAATGCCGATTGTAGAGTGCTACGAAGGGCCGTCCAATTTGCCCCAACCTTCATCACGAGAAAGTGTAAAAAAACCCTGAATTATTTTTAGTCTTTTCGAGTCCAAAGAAGTCCAGAAATAACTGTCATGAGGTAAACAAAATGCCTTCTTACTTGTCACATGCACCCAAATTGTGGGCACTGCCAGAAGCCCTGTCCCAGTTGGTTGGTTACACCTATCGCCTGGTCTCGGTGCAGTGATAATATATCGCCGGTACTGTCCTCAGGTGGTGGGTAACAAGCAGCCGCAGCTGACGTTCGTCACGCGCTGGGAGCTGCGGCTGACGGCCGTCAGGGACGAGGACAGGATAGAGCTGGAGCTGCCGCTGAACGCGCCGCAGCCGGTGCCGGCCCAGCGGTTCGCGCAGCTGGCGGCTGCTGTCTGCGGGCAGCTGCCCGTGGCCGAGAGCCAGCTGTCGGAGGAGACCGGGAAGCTGCTGCTGAGACTGGAGGACAGCTGCACCGTTCGGCAGCTGGAGGAGCTCAAGGTGAGAGGAAGGAGAGCGAGAGATACCTGGGACATAAGTGTTGTACGGAGAGATGTTCAGAGATGGTAAATTGTTGTCACAAGGCGTACATTCCAGTGCTTAGGGCGGCAGCTGCTGGCCGCTGCGAACCCGCCAACTGGGATGGTCAAGGTTGTTGTAGTTATTTAGTTTTCCGATGCCAAATATCGTTGATATACATAGAGGGTAGAAAGGCTTACATAGGTAGGTGTGTGCGAATAAGATTAACGACGTAAGCTGGGCTGGGATGTGCATTATGTGGTGCGAACTGTGGACTGTAATGTATAGGTAGTGTAGAGCGGATGCCAGCAGGTCTTGCCTCGCATTCCTAAGTGTCAAATGCGTTCGCACTTTGAATATATATTTTTGGGAAAACTGCACCAATTTATCGGTTATGTTTATCAAATAATGTATCTTATTTCCTCAGGAATGAATGTTTGTAGGGTCGCGAAGCGTCATTTAGCGCCCGTGGCTTGAGCAATGTGCATACCATGGCCTGTTGCGCGACACGAAATGTTGCAATTGCAGCATTCCATTCATGCTTAACGCTGGACGTTCTGAATGCCCGCGATAACACCTGATTTGTTTGAATTTTGGATGGACTGTGCCCGTCAGGCCCTACCGTTACCAAGGCAGCACGATTGCGAAAGGAATGCAATGATTGCCACTGGCCAGGCATACAGGGTGACCTAGTTACATGCAACGTCATCGTCGCCGCATTTATGCTTAAACCTCAAGTCCAATTAAACAACAAGACATGAGCTTTCAAAAAACACGTCGATTAGTTGCATGAAAGTTGTTTATTTCTATTTTTTATTTTTTTTTGTTTATTTATTTATTTATTCATTTATTTATTTATTTAGGTATTTATTAATGTAACTATTTATTTATTTATTTTTATTATTTATGATTTCTCTCTCCAGCCGGAGGTGGGCCAGCTGCCGCGGCTCCACGACGGCAGTGAGGTACGCGGCGTCATCGTCACGCTGAAGGACGGCGGCAAGTTCGACTTCCAGAGCCGCTACTTCGCGCCGTGGGTGGGCATCCCCGAGGACCCGGTGACGGGCTCGGCACACACGGTGCTGGCGCCGTACTGGGCTCGCCAGCTCGACTCGGAGCGACTGTGGGCGCGCCAGTGCTCGGCCAGGGCCGGCCAGCTGGGCCTGGCCGTCGACTGGGACCGCCAGCGGGTCCTCGTTTACGGAGAGGCCGTCGTCGTCCTCCAGGGAAAGCTGAGGATCCCGTAGCGTGGTGAATGCGGAACGCTGGGCCGTGCTATATCCATGTGGGGCATTTTCGGGGGTTTGGCACTAAATATGCAGGTGCCGAGTGCATGGTTATCAAATTACTGGAAGTGTATTTGCATGTAGAACCGACGGTATACAACGCGAAATAAACCCTATCCTGCGCGTTATGCACGAGCTGGTCTCTGTTATCTGTCTCTGTCTATCTGTCTTTTAAGCCCCTTTCACCTTACTCCGTGCGGTGTCACTGTTGGCTCTCAAGCTCTACCGACAAAAGTAGTGAACTGGTGCGCCACTGATATTTTGCCTGCTGCTATTTTTGAGTGTCGTTTTATTTGTCAAATGTTCAACCATGTCGAAAGAACATTCAATAAAACTGCTGTGAGTGCTGAGGAGCGTGCCGCCCTATTTACCATTCGCGTTGAACCAAAAGCATTTGCATAATGATATTAAAAGTAAGTCCTAATCAATACTGATGAACTTGAAAACTAGTGATGAATGCATTTTCACGACGGGCCAATACGTCTACTCGTAATTTGACCAAATCTGCACCAAATCTCTTATGCCACAAATGTCTTCACATCGTTAAGTTATTTCAATGCTTTAATAGAAAAAAGCCTGATAATTTGAAAACTGAAGTCTATAAGCATCTGTGCAACCCAAACTGATAACTTTAAAGGAGCATAGTGAACCTAATTTGACCAAATCTGCTCCTAATATGCACCAAATGTGTACCAGATGGCCGTCGTGAAAACGGTTTCACAACCTTGACACCTACCATGACCCATGGGAGAACCGTTATTTCACAGATTGGCACGTTTCCAACACAAGAAGTTTGAAAGTGCATAGAAAATATGCGCTGACATGTCGAATCGGCATTCTGGTTTGACGTGGTCTTGCGAAAGAGGTCAAGGCCAGGAATTTTCTGGCGTAGTTGTAATATTGATCAAATGGGGATTGGGGGGCACTGAAGGTTCTGTCATTATTCACCGTTTTTAGCAGGTATTACTAGCCATGTCCTTTTGCACACTTACAAGCACACAGGGAAACGGTGGTGGTGGCACACGCGGTGGTGATTGCCGTTAAATGCACAAAAGTACGCTGCGGTAAAAACTGTTGTGAGTAAAAACGCGTGCGTCGCTGAGCAGCCGCCCGGTTGGCACTAAGAAATGCCAAAAGAACTGCTGCTATGTTTTGCTTGTGACAAGCGATCGTGACACACATATTGATTTCCGCTTATTTTCAGCCCCGCCCCAGCGGTCTACAGTGCACATGCCAATAGACTCGAAAACCATTACCGTCTCCGGTGCTACGGTGACCACTGACCTCATTTCAAATTTGTTCAAACAAAGGATTGCAGATCGGATCTGTAGATCGCAAAGATAACATGAATATGCGAGATGCACGGTGTGTAATCTTCCGCCTGGATGATCTTCGACCGTCTGATCGAGAAAAAAAAAACCTAATACGCCCTCTCAAAACACCACATCGGTAAAATTCATCAGTAGCTCGTTTTTGTAAAATCACCAGTCGGGCCCCCTATCCACTAGACCACAGTCAGAACAAATCGTCCTAAAGCGTAAGGCTGTGTCGGAAAGTTACATACTTATTTACACCTATAGTACTTCGTGCATCAGAGCCAGTTTGTAGGGCGAGGCGGGGCAAGACATTTTTGTCTGAAGAAGACTGAGTTTCTCTTTCTTTTCTCATGGGAAATTTTTAAGGTGGTGTAAAACAAGCAGAGAAAGTTTTTTTTTCGGACTAAGTTAAGCTTCGGTTGAGCTAGGTATGCCAATACGTGCCAGCCCGTCATCGCTTGCCTCATTTCTCACCGCTGAATGTTCTCCGATTGTGCCTGACGCTATTTTGCCGTCTTTCTTGGTGAATCTGAGCGAACTGTCATTCCCACAACTGTCACAGTCGCACACAAACACCCACCAGCAAGCTGACCTAGACCTGTCAGTGGGTCGTTGTCGCGCTGGTGTCGGTGTCCCGGTCCCCCCCCCCCCCCGCTGCACAGTTGGTCGGCCGCCCGGTCACCCCCGAGGCGGTGGTCGCTGGCAGTGTGTGTCGGGCGGCGGCCGGTGGGACACGCCACCGGGACTACGGGACGGGGCGCCATGCCGCTGCGCCACCTGTTCGTGACCGGCGCGGTGCCCGTGAGCGACGAGCTAGAGGGAGACGCGCTGCGCTGGCCGTTCGTCCACCAGCTACTCCGCTGGGACAGCATCGTCAGCACCGTGTTCGGCCACCTGCGGACGGCGGCTGATGATGCCACCGACAGCAGGACCGGCGGCAAGGCTGGCGGTGAGTGGTGGACAGCGCCAGCCCGCCAGCCCGCGTTCAACGATTGGCTGAATCTGCGTTGATTTCTGTTTTGGGATGAGTTAAACGTTTCATATCTGGAACTTTGATTTTTAAGACCAGAGATAAATAAGGAAATGTTTGCCACCTTCCTTACACCCGGGAGCAAAATCAACTGACTCATTTTAACGAATGAGGCATTCTTTTTAAGTGATATCGAATTTATTTCATCGGTGTGGAAGCGTATTTGAACATGTTTTGCCCGTATACGAGATACAAGGCATAGTTTTCCCTTTTTTAATTGCGAAAATTAGATGTGTGATGACCTATGGCGACCCAGATGTGACCTATAGCGACCGGACCTAGACGGAGGGATTAAAAGGCACTGTAGGTATCTCGCTTTGTTACGATCAGACGATCACCACAGCGTTGGATAAATCCATTTGATTAAAATAGTCGCTTTAAAGACAAATTTGATAGCTTTTATGTTTAAAGAGAACTTGTGATATATAAAAACAGTGACTAGGTAAACCATTCAGTTTGAGACAATCATTTTAATTGCTCGATGTGTCGCGTAAGTCATGTAACAATTTGAATATGCAATCAACATCACCACATGCATTTTTAGCGAAGTTTGTGCCTCACGATTCACTTTACGTCTCCATTTTCAGATCCCGCAGTGAAGGTTTCGGAGGATGCTCCCCAGCCGATGTCCCGTCCCGTCAGGAAGTTCTCTGAGCCCCCGGTTCTCCGGGCTCAGACCAGCAGCACTGACACCGAGGACGGGAAGCTGGGGTCCGTCTCTGCACACCCAGCGCTGTTCTCCAGTCTGCAGCTGCGTCTCGGTTACCTTCAGCACGTGAGGCGGCTGAGCCGGAGGGAGAACAGGGCGGCGGCGAGCGCTCCTCCTCCGGCGCCGGTGCCGAGCCGGCGGGTCAGCGCTCCGTGCCGGCCCAGCGCGCTGGCAGCCCGCCTCAGGAAGATCTCCGTCACCGACACGCTGCGCCAGGTCGGAAAGGACCTGCGCCGCATCGCGGACCACCTCCAGCTCAGCAAACTCGTGGTGAGTTGCACCGCAAACTGGCGCTGGCCTGCCGAAATATTACCCTCATACATCCTGGGTCTGTGTTCAGTCGTTTTGACAACGAAATTATATCAAATATATTTTCTTCAGTTTACCTTAGACTTCCGCGGCGATGTCATTTTTGTATTTCCGCACAATCCAATTGACCAAAACACCGTTTTGGTCAAAATCTGTGTTGCCGCACTGCAAAAAGTCAGCCCGCGAGCCAATCATTTTCACACAGTGTCGATGCCAACAGCGAGCTTTATGTGTCATCGGGACAACAGGCGACCTTGTTCCTCGCCCTGTCCCGTCCCCATGTTCCTTGGTGCCAACCAACGTGACAGCACGGGTCGCCCAGTAAAAACGCCACCGACAGCTCGGTCACAGGGCCACGCGGCTCTTCCGTGACGACGACGCGTTCTGGTTCATGCACTTGTCCTCGGGGGGCTTGGGAGGGGCAGCGGACGGGCGAATCGATGGATTACGATCGAAATTCCCTGTTACGGTGTTATGCAAACCATCGAGCTTGTCATTGTCTCATTCAAGATACAAAAATAATACTTACCTACACCTAATGATCTGTTGGCCAGACGTTTCAACGGAACTCTTAACCTTTGCGTGTGACCTATACCTACACTGTACTTGATGAACCACTCGTCTGACACGTAATTATCTGTGACGGCAGGGCGGACGGTCCGTGTCCGGGGCGAGCCGTGACATCAGCTGGATGTACCCTGTCGTCACCATGGGCTGTGTCCTCGTCTGTGGCATCACAGCCGTCCTGGGACGCGCCTGCCGCCACTGAGGATCTCCTCGGTGGATCGAGTGGGAAGACTTGGCTGAGCGGGACTTCTTTGACATCGCAGTGTAGTGATTTTGGCTACGCTGTGTTGCTCCCAAGACCGGTACTCGTTCAGTTACAGGGTCGTGGGAAGGTATCGCTGAAATGAAGAGTCAGTGTTAGTCAGCAGGTACTTGATCCACGGGCCCACGGTTTTGGTGTGAGCGATTTAGAGACTCGGGTTCGATGCCCGGTGCAGTTGTGATGATAAAGTAGAATTCCTATTTTCTATTAATCTATATATTCCATTGAAAACATTTATTTTTTGTGCTGTAACATATAACTCCACGATGTCTGATGTGTGGTACTGGAATATCTACTACATCCTAAGCGACTACTGCATGTGCTGGGCGACAAGCTCGCACATTCTGTTCGTATTGGTAAATGGCGCAAATATACATGAATATTGTCATTGATAGCTTGTTTTCCATGAAATCGAGAGTAGAGGTCTGTTGTACGATTAACACTCCTATGCTGAATACAGCGATTGAACATGAGCGCTCAGTTCACTGGTCACCAGCCAAAAAGATCTAAGTGACCAGTGTGCGAGTGTAACCATACCGTTTCGATGCTAAATCTAAAAGCATTTCTGCTACATGCTGCTACCATGAGCTCAGTTAATCGTCCAGCCCGTTGGTGTCGTTTCATACGTTCCTTAATAGGCTTTGTGGGGCCTGAGCCCGACCAATAATTTTGAAATTTAACATAGCACAAGGACGTTGCATGGCAGAATAATTGGGAGTCTTTCTGCGTTTTCTAGTCAACGAAGGCCACATTAAATCGGTCTTTTTCCGTATATGATCACCTGAGATTTGTTTGAGATTCATGCTTAAATGGTATACTCAGTGTCATAGTTGTTTTTGTTTCACTTTTCAAATATGTCCACTGCTAAGTGCTAACATGCCTGCAATATGTGTAACAAGGCTATAGAGCTCCTTGTATAGAACACCGTAGGCTATAGAACTACACTCTATAGATGTAAAGGCCTGGCTACGCTATGCGTTTTCTGCGTGCGTTTTTTTGCGAGTTTGCGGGATACGCGTAATATCGTTCTAGAAAGAAACGACATTACGTTTTTTTCATATAAAGTTTTAATCACTTATAAATGTTTTATTAACTTTTATATCAATATTAAATAAGTTTTATTGGTAATAACTTTTTTCTTGAACGATATTAGGCAAATCACACAAACTCGCAAAAAAAAAAAAACACGCAGAAAACGCATAGACAAAACGGGTAAGGAGTATCAACATTGTATAAGTGAGGTCAGACTAGTATTCGCGCGGCCGATAGGTATCTCCTTGGGTATCTCGTTAACCAGCCGGACACCAGTCCGCCCCCGATCCGGAACTAGCGCGAGCTGGACGCTGCTGTGACCGGACATGTGACCGGAGTCACCGCACGACCCAGACCCGGCCCATCAGATCCAGGCCAGCGCTACTGATCCCGCTCCCATCCGGCACCGGTATCGGTCGATACACCGGCGAAGGACGCCCAACCCATCAGCGGCAGCCGCGCCGCCGAAACAGGTGCTTTTTGCCGTCATCCACTACCGGTAAGTCTTAGAATGACGGAAACGGTGTCAGTGGCAAAACAACTCGGCGGGGTTTTTGTGTCTTCGTCCAAAGCTGTTCCAGCCTTAGTTTGCCGTAGAACGACCCGCGAGAGAACACTGCTCTACATATGTTGACCTGCAGTCTGCAAGAAGCGTGTCCGAAATACCAATAATCGTTTATTACCTGCTGTAGCCTACCTATACATCATCATGTACATACCAAAAAAGGACGGGCACCCCCTTCCCCCTTGGCCCAAGGCCCTTTACCCTCGGAATGGACCCTCGGCCGAGGGGGTTAAATATAATCAAATATCGTGCGCATTTTCGTCACTTTCCCGAACTTGTTGAGCATAAGTATTTTGGTTAGGACCGTCATCATTAACCCTCGCCCTGGCAGGGGGGGGTCGATGCGACCCCCCCTAAGGTTTTTCGAAGATAGCGTAAAAACGGCGGGGCGCAGCGCCGCCAAATTTGGCACAGCCTATGGGGCAACCTTTTTACATATGACCTGAAAATTTCAGGTCCGGGTGACCTTGGGTCAGGTCACCAGGTAAGAAAAAGCGGTACAAGGTCATGGTCAAATTTCAATTTTCTTTTTGCACCTGTCCAACTCACAGTTTTGGACTGATTTCCTTCAAACTTTCAGGATGTGCTATGTTCACTGAGTTGTATAGCATATAGTTCGGGTTTTTTGAGGTCACTGACCTGAGGTCAGTTAGAGGTCAATACGTTGTAATGTTAAGCCTATGGGAAAATACTAAATTCGGAAAATACTGGAGATATCCGCTTCGTTCTATCACTTTTGTGCTTTGAAACCACAGTACTTAACAGCAGGTCACTTGGTGCTTCTTTGTTTGGTGTACTTATCCATGGGTCAGGTCAAATGAGGTCAACTGAGGTCAAATGACGTTTTTGCCAATAACTTGGCACATAATGACGCTAGAGCTTAAAACATGGTATCATTGTGTCCCTGGTGATCAGACGAATCGAATGATATGCGATATGATGCAATTTGGTTAACTTGAACTTAACTTAATAATTTAAGTTGACTTGAAATTTAAGAAAAAACTTTAAGTACACTTAAACAATCTAAAAACTATATCATTCGACGCGCCTTGACGTGCTGAGTTCACTGGTGCTTTTCTTTTTGCTCTATCTTAATTAGATCAAAAGTTATAAGCGAAAAACTTTTGACCTGTTTTTAGCGAAATTTTTACATTTATACCCCCCAAAACCCCCCTAAATATTGACCTAGATCAACCAAATTTGCACAGGGGCGAGAACTCCAGGGGGCCCACCTACCTACCAAATTTGGTGTTTCTACCCAGTAAACATGACGACGTCGGCCCGACGTCGGGCCGAGGCTCGGCCCGACGTCGGCGCAACGTCGGTTCAACCTCGGCCCGACATCGGCTGGACGTCGGATATGCCCGCAAGTTCCGACGTCCAGCCGAAGTCCAGCCGACGTCGAGCCGACGTCGGGCCGAGATCGTTTGCCGAGGTTGACGAGATCTCAACTCAAAACTATTGTTAAGGTCACTTTAATTTTTAAAGTGACCATCCCACCTTAACATTAGTTTTGAGCTGAGATAGCCAGATTGGTGGCCATGACCTGAAAATACCGGTTTGGGCACTCACAACTTCGAAAAATGCTTTAATTCGAAGATATGGAATTTCAAGCTTGCAGTTTTCGGATTCTAAGGGGCTAATGCATTGGAATGCCCCCTTAGAATTTGTGACGTCAGCGGAGATCTAACTATTTTTAAATCTTTTACTAAAACGTTTGGTAGCACGCGGTGGTAGGGGAGAGTGGGGCAATGGCGACACCATAAGCATTTTGCTCAATAGCTTAGCTATTTGAAGCTATTTTATGGTGATTTTGACTGTGGTTATAGCCAAAGGAATAGGCTTTCAGATAGCACCCAGTTTTAGTACCTCAGATCACTGATGACAGATTCAGAGCCTACGCGAAAATGTGGTGAAAAATGGAGGTGCAAAAAAGCGAGGGGTAATGCCGGCCACTAAGTGCAATAGCACAAAAGTCGAAATATCGTCACTGGTATTCATCCTTAAACCGTTCTTTCGATGGAAATTTAAGTGAGGATTAAGAAACGACAACTGTATTCAGCAGTTAACAGTACACTGCACTGCAACACAACACTGCACTCGCTGCAACACAACAGCGCGGCGCCAACAGAGCAGCAAACTAACACAACCGTAAACAGCAAGCAAACTAACACAGCCGTAAACACAGCAACCCGAAACGTTGAGCTTTAACGACAGAAGTCGCAAACAAAACCGCGTTGAGTCATTCCGGACACGTGTCCGGTATTACCCCGAGGTCAGCTTTATTTTAAGAAAGCAGGCAGCAGTCAAAGGCATTGCGCCGCAAACGCCTCACATCCAGCAGTCGCCTAAGAAAGGCTTAATTGAAGGTCATTGTAAAGCAGCACTTCTGAAAATGCGCTAACACATTTCACAGTCAGCAAATAGATGCAACAAAAATTAAAAATCAGATACGAAAAACACATTTAACGCTATAAAAATGAAAATAATGGAGCTACCGTGACAAACTTGCACCACGTGCTAGAATGGCGCTCAACTGAAATGTAAACAACATCAGCTGATTAGTGATGGACAAAGTACTCATTAGAGATGGGTGGCCGGCATTACCCACCGTCCGCCATTGCCCCACTCTCCCCTATATGCTGCTTTGCGCGCAACACATGCCGCACTTTCAAATAAATTCGCTAGGAACAGCGGAGATCCCAAAAAGTAAACAAAAGTAAAAGTCTAATATCTTGAAAACCGGTGAACATTTTTCGATGAAATTTGGCAGATAGGTATTCGTTTTCGCTCTTTCCGAACCGAGCGACATCACTTTCATGCCAATTCATTAACTTTTTTGAAGGTGGGAGCCGGGAGGGTCCCTTTAACAACATCGCCTTTCCCAGGTGAGAGTCTCGGATACCTACTAATTATAGATATCTCACTTTTTTCTTGGGAGTGACCTACCTGGGTATGGGTATACAGGATGTCGCCTTGCCGGTAGCTATAAAAAATACAATATCAAAATAACGTGTCACGAGCACGATCACTGCATAACGTGTACCTGCTATCATAGTTTTAAAACCCGCGCCCCGTAGGGGGGGGGGGCGAAACGGCTCCCCCTGTCCTTTTCCGTAGATGTCTCCTAAATACTGCAGATATCGTCACCAAACTTTCAGGACCTTTCCGGTATCGACTTTACACATTGTGATCAAAAATTTCCTAAAGCTTATGATAGGTTGGCTGCTAATGACGCCAGAATGACGTCATGCTCTGTCATTTTTAACCTAAGAAAGGTTTCGCGGGAAGAAGTGTCAGGCCTGCAGCTTTAAAGATACAGAAAAATGTTTGAAACATAATAGCTGTGGATTTACCAGGGCTAGAAAACTACTATCTCGATTTTTTTAAATATTTGGTATTCGCCCCAAAAATCCGAGTTTCAGAAAATTGGATATGTGTAATAGTCCTCACCGTTTTCCATCGGCATACCAAATTTGAGATCGATACCTACCCCTTTTTTGGCTAAGTTATGGCAAAAAAACTTCAAAATTGATTACGTCAAACCTGATGAGCTACGAACGTGAAACTTGGCATAGCTTCAAAAGAATACCTAGGCAAAGTTTGAGGACAGTTTGGTGGTTGTAGCACTAAATTAAGATGACGTCACAGTGACGTTATAAAGTTTTGTCGTTTTCCGATATCGATCGTTCCTGATGTCGCTGAGCATGTAACTCAACTGTAAATGAACTAGACACTAGACAGCACTTGCTGTTAGCCTAAAACATCTAAGTGCCTACACTTCCAGTTAGTTTCTG